CCTACACTATTTAACCAAAACTTCAGGATTTGAAACAAAGGATGGAAAACCAATAGGTTTTTGCCAAAATTCATTTGAAAACACAAAAGGCTCAGTCCTAACAAAAGAAAAACCATTTCACACTGAAGTTGCAATGCTGGTGAGAGCCGTCTATCCGTAAGGCATGGTATGAATGACAGCTCATCCACTTCTGAAATGTCACTAAGCACTTTCCATTTGTTGTGCTGGTTCCTGAAATTAGCCAGAAAGGAAGAGATGTTTGTGAGAGATATTTTTTCTTCTCTTCTTCTGTATACAAAGAAATAGAGCCAAAACGCTATTGTAGTCCGTCCTTTTTGGCAGAGCTTAGAGACAATCTGCAAATCCTGGGAAAGTATTGAGGTGTCCATGTACCTTTCAGACCTTTATATTGTAAACCACGATCTATGATCATGCCCTTTCAACTCTCATAGTTCAGTAGTTTCAATTTACAGAGAACAAGTGTGAATCTTGTATATTTGCTTATACAAAAAGCCTTTTAGGGCTTTTATTTGATCCGTTAGAAAAGTGAGATTTATAGGCTGTACTAGATTTTCCTTATGTCCTGGTCATCGAATCAATACCATCCCAAGTAGCAGGAATAGAAGCAGAATAGGGACATAAAAGTACAGCAATTTAAGTACTATGGACTATGAGCAAGTACATCTCAGTTCCCAAATTTGTTGCTTTTATCTCTTCTACTTTCAGCTGGTTACTGAATTACACAGCAAATTTGACCATTTCTCTGTACAATTCAGTTCATAGAGAGGTTTTGTGAGCTTCTAAAGCAAAATGCTCTAATAATCTGTGTATATCTAGTCATAAATGGAGTCTTTAGAAATTCAAATACAAAGATACTCACTTTGCTTCTGAATATGTTCGGTATTATGTGAATCCAATTCTCAGCTGCCCAAGAGAAGGAAATGAGCACTATTACTTTCTCCTATATATGCGAATAAGGAATAAAAGTCATTGTAAATTTGTGATACAGAAATATAACTCATATTCCCATGTACCTCTAGTCTCTTTTTTGTTCAGAGTACAGCACCTCAGTACTTCCCCGCACTTCTTTAATATTTATAATGAAGTTATACTGAAACTTTTACAGCTTATATCTCTGACCTCATCAGAAAGTGTATCATGCTGGTTTTCTTTGCCCATGGCAGCCATATTCAAAATTTGATCTCATGGCCTTAAATAAGTACCTTAAAGGTGGCACAATTTCAAACAGTTTTCATAGAATCAGAATCATTGAATAGTGTGCGTTGGAAGGGACCTTCAATGATCATCTAGTTCCAACCCCCCTACCATGGGCAGGGACACCTTCCTCTAGATCAAATTGCTCAAAGCCCCAACCATCCTGGCCTTGAACACTTCTAATGATGGGACATCCACAACTTCTTTGGGCAGCCCATCCCAGTGCCTCAGCACCCTCATAGAAAAGAATTTCTTCTTTGTGTCTAATCTAAATCTACCCTTTTTCAGTTTAAAACCATTGTAGCTTGTCCTGTCACTTCGGGCCCTTGAAAAAAGTCCCTCTCCATTTTTCTTATGAGCCCCCTTTAAGTATTGAAAGCCTGCAAGGAGGTCTCCCCATAGCCTTCTCTCCTCCAGGCTGAACAGCCCCAACTCTCTCAGCCTTGCTTTATAGGAGAGATGTTCCATCCCTCTGATCATTTTTGTGGCCCTCCTCTGGACTCGCTCCAACAGGTCCATGTCTTTCTTGTACTGTGGACCCCCACAGCTGCATGCTGTACTTCAGGTGGAATCTCACAAGAGCAGAGCAGAGGGGTAGAATTACCTCCCTTGCCTTGCTAGCCACGCTTTTTTTGATGCAGCCCAGGATATGGTTGGCTTTCTGGGCTGCAAGCAGACATTCCTGGCTCATGTCCAATTTTTCATACACCAGTATCCTCAAGTCTTTCTCTGGAGGGCTGATCTCAATACTTTCGTCCTCCAGTCTGTATTGATATTGGGGATTGCTTCAACTCACGTGCAGAACCTTATACTAGGCCTTGTTGAACTTTATGAGCTTCACATGAGCCCACTCCTCAGCCTTTCAAGGTCCCTCTGGATGGCATCCTTTCCCGCTGGTGTATCAACTGGACCACCAAGCTTGTTGTCATCTGCAAACTTGCTTGGGGTGCACTCAATCCGTCCATATATGTCATTGATAAAGTTATTAAATACTATTGAATGCATTTTGATGCATTTGAACCATTTTAACATTCATTCAGATGAAATTCTGAATTGGAAAAAAGCTGCAGCGGTGGTTAGTGCTGAATTTGTTGAGCTAGTATACTCTGCAAAAATTAGAACTGCAATGCAGGTTTGAAAGGGATCTTTATTATGGGGTGATTTGTCATTTTACACTCATTCAGGTACACGAATGAAGTTTTCCATGCATCCCACCGCATTTGAAAGGGGTTTATTTTTGTTTGCTTACATTTTGCAATGAAAAACTATCATCTTACACGGGTTTATAGTAGTTTTTATTTGTACTAATCTTATTTAACTGTAATAAGCATTATTGTGATAACCGTATTAGTGCTGAATGTAGTGAAATGCTTCACTGCAATAGCATTGTGTGCGGAGCCAAAACCATGTAATGTAAAGGGTGTTAACATCATCTAGCTTTTATATGGAACCTAGAAGTGTGGTAGCTAGACACAAGGTATGAATTAAAAAGCCATTCTGGATAAGCATCTTATGTGATCCTGTTCTAAATAAAATGACAGTTGAAAAAATATGTTAATGGTGGGAATAAAGACAAACAAAACAATAAACCAAGATAAAATAAGTAAACTGGCTCATGTTTGGGTTTAAAGGCCACATCATTTACACGTTCACAACCTTCTGCTCGCTGCACTTAAATATCTAGAAACTGTACCACTTCCCATGTGATTTCAGTCCCAAGCTCTACAGGACTTAGGGTGGGAGTAAAGTAGATATTTGACTGTATGACACCTGTTTTTTATAGTTTTCAGAAGAACAAAGGTGACACACATTCCAATACATTCTTTAATATCAGCATTAAAAGGTGTGCAAGCTTCTGCATCATCACAAGGAATTTCTTTGTTTAAAATAAATAAAAACTTTGCATTTATTTGGAGTTTTGTTTGTTTGTTTCTTTGTTTTTTAATTATGCCTTACTTGCAAACATTTACAGATATTCAGCTGTTGTGTACACAATAAGGTACCATCATTACTCCCCCTGTACAGAACGCACTGAAAGTTTGCTGAAAGTTAGATGTTAGTCTGATAGAGGTTTTCGTCAACAATGTGTGAGACTTTAAACTGCAACCAAAGGGAAGAAATAGAAACTATTTAAAATAGAAAGCCACTTCCATTATATTTCCATTATATGATCTGACTGAGTAAAATTGGACTAGAATTTACACCTTGTCCCAGAAGAATAATTTCATTCTTTGTGCTGAGTAAAGTGGCCGCTGAGTTAAGTTTGTATTGCCGTACCCACGACAATTCCTATTTCAATGATCCAGCAAAATGGAATCATCTCCTAAATACCATTTCCTGGGAGAAAATAAGCAATTAAACAACATCAACAACAACAGAATATTTATACTCTCTATTATCATTACATCTAAACTGCCTAGTTTCTTCGTTGATAACACCTACCTGTGAATATGTCATTCTGTGAGGTTTTATCTTTGTTTATGTATGATCAGCAGAAGGTATTGAAAGCAGAATTACATACAAAGAGAATAATGTAATGATCATCAGAAGCATTCAGGTTGATAACTGATGGTTGTTCTAAGCCTGACGGGGTCATAGCAAGCAAGGATCTCAGACATGATCATCATGTCAACATTGCTTTATGCCTGTGTTAGAATAACCTTGGCAATACTAGGTCTTTCCTAGAAAAGTGGCTACAAAACATGGTGATACACATTTTACGTGAAAAGAGAGATTGATGGTGAATTAATGATTCAGGTGAATAATTTACCTGAAAAATTAACAGAAAGCTATTATTCTGAGTAATCTGGTGCAATGAAAAAAGCCAAAATGTAATCTCATGTATATGAGAAGGAAATGATTGGTTTTTGTGGGTTTTCAGTCAGGGCACAACTACAGATTATATTTTTAAAAGTATTTACATTATGAAGTTGCCCACTTGTATACCAAATGCAATAGTTTTTAAGAAATTGGAAACAGACAGCTTTTTCTCATGAGCACAGCATCAACAGAGCTGTAGAATCTCCCTTTGTGCTCATTCATCTTCAAAACTTTAGAGTTAACAGTCAGAAAAACATCCAGCGCAGCACTTTGGAAGAAAAATACTGTCTCTTATAAAACATAGCTAGTGGGTCTACGTTGAGAGAAGCAAATGATAGGCATTCAAATATTGACAGAATGCTTGTGTCATCAGTACACCCTTCTAATTAGTATAACATACTTTAGGGAATGGGTCTTCTGCCACCATTGTTGCTCTTCAGTCTTTAATGTGTCAGGTGTGGTTGGTAAATGAGTGAATATTTTCCTTGCTTCCAAGCAAACGCTTTTTTTCCCTGAGTATTTGTCTAGTAAAGTCATGGAAAATACCCAGGTACTTCCTTAAATATAATATCAGAAGACTCATTTAACCTCATACTAAGTTAAACCTTTCATTTTTACGTCTATTTTTCCAGGAATTTTACGGTTGTTAATTCAAAAATCATCGTTGTTACTATACGACCCGAGCCCAAAACTACGGATTCTTTCCTGGAGATAGAACTGGCCCATCTATCAAATGTAAGTACAGGGATAGTTGATATGCTCTTCCAAGAGTATTTATCAGATCATATGAGAGAAAAAGTGGGGTTGTTTTAAATATCAAGTAGTAAAACCCAGTTTAACTGCTAAAACTTAAGCCCAGGAAGAGTCTACCATACTTTGAAGGGAATGTGTACTTGTTTCATGCATGTGTATATACAAAACAAAATTAATTGTTCTGTGAGTTTTGAGGTTTTCATTTAAACAGCAATTTCTACCAAACCCCCTCAATTAACTGCTTTGATGGTACAATTGAAATTGTAGTATTCTGCTGAATGCTTAACCTTTTGCTCCCTGCATATGTTATAGACCTACATAGTTCTTCAGGCCTTTTCTTTTCTTTCAGTATTTTATAGTTAAAAGGCGTTTTTTACCTAACCTGTTGTAGCAGACTTTGAAAAATAATGCTCTGGTTCCACTTTAGCTTATAATTCTTATAAATGTTTGAGATTTTTTGTGCAATTATTTTTAATTCTGTACTTTTAAGCTTTTAATCTCACGTTAAAAATGTTTTAAATCTGGAAAAAAGCGATATGGTGTCTAAGTACACAAAAAACATGAACAGTTTTTCTTTTTGCTGTTAGCATCCTCCCATTAGGCACACGGAGAATAAAATCTATCTTTTGTGGGAAATTTTTTGTTGTGTACATTATTAGGGAAATTATGTTAGATAACAAGCACGGGAGTAATTTGTGTGAATGCACAGCATATAAACTCTGTCTGTTTATGATACTAAGATTTAGAGTTTAAAAAACGTCATAAAGAGATGATTAGAAGAGACAGAGTTATTAGAGTTACTATTTACTAAATAGTAAATAGTATTGTTGTGAATAAGTTTGTAAAGCTGTGATTTTTTTTTTTATAGACAGTTGCCCAAGTGGTCATATAGGTACAAGTCTGCTGAAGAAGTTCCAGATATTTCAGTCAGTAGCAAATCTGGATTAGTGTCTCAGGGCAAATGTGTGAAGAAAACTCTTTGAACTCTAGATCTGTGAATTACATTTTACTCAAAGTTAGAAGAAACTGATTATTTTACCATCAAAGGTCAAAATGAACCACCATTCTGTTCTCCCAGAAAAATGATATTGCAAAGAACTTCTCAGTGAAATTTACTGCAAAGACAAGCAGAAAAAAGAAAGGAATTCAGGAACATAAATTGAGCTGACTCCTTACATTTCAGTAAGATTAGAAGTTTATTGATGAAGCATTGTGGAGATTTAGGGTTTTATGGTTCTTTGTTACTATTTAATCTTAAGTTGTTTTAGGGTGGGTAGGTTTGGGGTTTTGATTTGGTTTGGTTTTTTTCCAACCTAAACTGCATCATATATATTAAGAGAAAATATCAGTCTTTAACATAACCTTTTTTCCTGTCAGAAATTTCACTAAAAATGTAATAGATTATTTGCTGAAGTAGACCACAAATTAATCCTTTCTATCAGGAAAAAAACCCCACCTTTTAAATAAGATACTTGTTTTGATCGTACTAAGATCATTATTAGGAAGAATTTATGGTATTTCTCAATTCTAGATTTTAATTTCCATTATTTTAAGAATGGGGCTACTTATATGAGTTGTAGATAAGGAATATTGGAAAATGACTTCTATATTTTTAATATGTTAATAATTAATATTCTGTATTTTTTAATTTTAATTACTACTTGCAAAAGTGTGGGGTAACAGGTAGAAAAAAATTATAATTACTTTGGTCACTTATGCTAGAAATGAAATTTAAATTTTTTAAAAAAAATTAATACTAGTAAGCAAAATGTCAGCATTGAAAATACTTATAAACCAAACACAAGCTATTAAAACCAGCACAACACAAGAAGGCTAGACCAACAAAAGGTTGAACTGCTGTCCCCAGAAGCTGCAATTCTAGAAAATTCTCATACAGGGATTTTTCGTCTCTCTTTTTTTTTTAATCCATCCCTTTGAGTAATTTACAAAGCCAATTTTTGCTAAGTTTAAAAATCTTGGAAATGAAATGGAACTTCATTGTTACAAAAGGTCAGATTAGAGATAATGATTGCCACCTTGCTTTGCCAAACTTTCAGTAGCAGAATATTAATGAGTATTGTATTAGGTCATATCTTGACAAGGCAAAAAGACAATAACCTTGCCAATAGATACCAGAGGTTTTTTTTTTTCCTTTGGCTCAGTTTTTGTCCTATAATTTAATCCAGAGAAGCATCAAGTGCTTGGAAGAAATGTCTAGTCCTTAAATTGGAATTACATACATCATACATTTATATAAGATCTCGATCCACCTGGATAGAACAGTTGGATTGGTAGATACAGTGACAAAATATTGATCTAGAAAATCTGGGAGTGGAAATCAGTTCTACGTTTTCAATATCTTTAAATGTTTGGTGATTTTTACGCTCAAAGCTTAGCCTCCATAAAGGGACTCTGGTTTAAAGAACTAAGGCTCTAAATGCATAGAAATGCAAATGTTATTTTGTAGGTTTGGGTGTTTCTTGACTTCAGACTGAATCTAATTCTAATCTTTTCTATGATTTTCTCAGTTAAAAACAAAACCACAAATTTGTTTAATTATAATATTTTACTATAGAACAAATGTTATATGTCACAGACAGAAGGATGAAACTAGTATAATATATCACTAGCATTTGAACATTATATACTAATGGCTTACAGATTAATCATGATGTCAATTAAATAAATTAATTATTAAACAGAAAATAAAACACAGACATTCTCTTTCATCTGATTTTTTAGAATGACTCTTCTTGTTGTTTTTGTTCTTTTCAAACCTTTGGTCTTGAAATGCTGTTCAGTATTCAGAACAGTTTGTTTCGAGATTGATTCAATGAATAATTTTTAAGCAACCTCTAGAGCATGCCTACTAATATATAGGAGTATACCCACACATTTGTTCTTTTACCTCCCCATCCACTGGCTAAATTATGTAGATAAGAGATTATGAAAAAAGATGGGCAAATGAATCTTAGAATCACAGGTTGGAAAAGACCTCTAAGATCATCAAGTCCAACTATAAACCCAACACCACCATGCCTACTAAATCATATCCCGAAGTGCCACATCTACACGTTTTTTTAATGCCTCCAGGGACGGGGACTCAATCACTTCTCTAGGCAGCCTGTTCAGGTAGTTGTAGAGAGCAATAAGGTCCCTCCTCAGCCTCCTCTTCTCCAGACTAAACAGCCCCAGTTCCCTCAGCCGCTCCTCATCAGACTTGTTCTTCAGACCCCTCACCAGCCTCATTGCTCTTCTGTGGACACTCTCCAGCAACTCAATGTCCTTCTTCTATTGAGGGGTCCAAAACAAAACACAGTACTCGAGGTGCAGCCTCACCAGTGCTGAGTACAGGGGCATGATCACCTCCCTACTCCTGCTGCCCACACTATTGCTGATACAAGCCAGGATGCTGTTGGCCTTCTTGGCACACTTCTGGCTCATGTTCAGCCAGCTGTTGACCAACACCCCCAGGTCCTTTTCCTCCGGCAGCTTTCCAGTCACTGCTCCCCAAGCCTCTGGCGTTGCATGTTTTGACCAAAAGTGCAGGACCCGGCATTTGGCCTTGTTGAACCTCGTACAGTTGGCCTCAGCCCGTGGATCCAGCCTGTCCAGATTCCTCTGCAGAGGCTTCCTACCCTCAAGCAGATCGACACTCTCACCCAACTTGGTGTCATCTGCAGACCTACTGAGGGAGCTCTCAATCCCCTCATCCAGATCATTGATAAAGGTGTTAAACAAGACTGGACCCAAAACTGAGCCCTAGGGAACATGACTCGTGACCTGCTGCCAGCTGGATTTAATTCCATTCACCACCACTCTCTGAGCTCGGCCCTTCAGCCAGTTCTAACTCAGATTATCCTTAAAATATTCATGTATTCAAAATTAATCATAATTGCTTCATTTTATATCACAATCAGCCAGTTTATTAATAAAATCAGAGGATTATTTTTTGGAGGAAGTATAAATCACAGTTAAATGTGTTGTTTCGAATATAACATGGTACTTGGATTTACAGATAAATTAAAATACAATAGACAGTTGGCCACAGTGAGAATGTGGGTTGCAATGCGTTATGTAGAGAAAGTGTTATTTGGTCTTATGCACTGTGAACATGTTGATTAATAAGAACATATTTTTCCAGTAGTTTGATTAAAGAGACATGAAGTAATCATTTAAAAACTGCACAACTCAAACAAAATCCTATTTGCTCCAGAGAAAATATGAACTCTCGCCTTCTGAAAGCATAGAAGTTTACTCCAGGGACACTAAAGTAACAAGCCAGCAGTAGCGTAGGACATCAGGCTTTCAAAGAGACTGAAAAACCTGGCTATAAAACAGTTGGCACTGGGCTGCATAGCTGTCAAAGTTGCCAATCACATCTTGAAAGTTCAGTTTTATATGCCAGGCAGAGTTATATATATACATACACATTCACACACATATGTCTATTTTTGAGGTCTCCAGGTCCTGTAGTGTAGTGTATAGATCAATACTGCAACAGTCGTAAACATTAATGGACACAGTAGCTGCTCCCTTAGCTGCAGCTAAGTAATTAACTGGAAAAAGCTGTGATGGAAGATTTCTGCCCTCACAGAGAGTGATGGCTGTTGGACGTAGCTCAACGACAGCAGTGTGAGGAGACATTGCCAGGAGGCCAGACCAGAAAGATTGTGAAAAAGGGAGCAACAGGTTAAGGGCAAAGAAGAAAATAGGAATACCAGCTCCTTGTGGTCCTTGCAGTGCTTGAAGGGTGTTTGATCAGGATATCAAAAGAGGAAGAAGTTCTGAAAGGCTGCTGTGCCCTTACAAGCTGCCACACCTCGTGAAGCAAACCCTCACACAAGATCTTCTTAAGGAACAGGAGTAATATTTTCCTGATTTCCATGTTTCTACTTAATCTCTCATTAGTGACTGCAATGGCCAAACACACTTTATTTTTTTTTCATTTGAATACGTTTCAAAGAGAGTGGAGCGTGTGATCTGACAGCAGCAGTTTTATTGTGTTTCAGCTCTCTGCAAAGTCTTTTGTTTCCCTCTGTTTTGTAGATTTCTTTATAATGGACATTTTTTCTGAAAGTGGTTTTTTATTCTTTCTGCTTGTACTGTGGGAGTAGTGACCATAAACTGTATGTTATCTGCTGCTAGGAAAGACAGGTCTCAGATCTCAGATATGCAATGTCTTATTACGATTCAGCTACAGCAGTACTTTTTTAATATGCATATAGCTATATGAGGTTGTAAGTAGAATTTCTTCACCCAGTCTTAGGATACAAATTAATACTCTTTGTAAAATTACATTTTAAAAAAGATCAATTCTGCACCATCATTCCATTGTTCTCAGTTTTTATCTTTGTGTATCCTCTTCTATCAATGTATCTGAAAGCTTTTGGCTAATGATGCAGGACCTGGTCTCTGAATCTCAATGGGCCTTTATCCAATGCTTTGTCCTATGCCCTCTTCCCCTTCCTCTTCTTTGTATTATAAATACTTCAGGGCATGGAACATCCTTTATTTATGTTTGTACAGTGCTATGTTAATACAAAGTGTCATAAGTATATGTTGATTTTAAATATTTATACTCTACTCACAAAATTCAGTGCAGTCAGCAAAATACTGAAGTAAAGGGTCAAGATTTCACTAAATACCTCTCTCACAAGCATCTTCAGAGGGATCTTTTTGTCTTTGACGAAGAGGTGGATGGAAGAATTTAAATATTTAATAGATTTTTACTTCACAGGTTGCCATGTTCTCTCTATAAATAAAACTTTTCAGCATGAAACATCAAGGTGTGTTTTATTTATACGAAACTATCTTTATATTTACTGCAGCAACAATGTTCATGAGACAACTACACTAATGTTGATATAAAAAAATAGTGTATTCCCCATGTTTCTTCAAATCACTTTTGTTAAAAATATATTTTTATTCTGTATTTTACATCTGATTTCTTTATATAGTTCTGACTTCTGGAAATATCCAATGTTTATGATGAACAGGAATACAGTCTTGCAGTTTTTAACCGGTTCAGTACTTCTAATTTACAAGATTAGGGACAAAACTTGAATTTTAAATTTGTCTCAACTCTTCCTAGGAAACAAAATAAACATAAGTAATAATAAAGACATTTCAAACTCCCAAAATATTACCCACAGTTTAATGATGTGTAATAACCTTAGATTCCCACCCTGTTCTAAATAGAATCAGAAAACCTCCACTGACTTCAAAGAGGATGGAGTTGGGATTGTAAAGCTCAACCAAAAAAAATATATTTTGAGCAAAAATCTCTGCTAATTTAGGACCTAATTGACAAAAGTACTTGGGTATTGAATGTGAGGTCATCTGAAATCCCAGCCTTCAGACATTTTGCGTAACACATGCTTAAAAATTTTAAAGGCATTACTGGTTTTGACATCTCAGTTCCTGAGGGGCCTGAACTTCTGCTGCTAAACACACCCAGAAATGTTCAGGCTTTAACTCTGAACAGATTAACTCTTATCTTATACTTTAATTCTACTAGGATATACCAAATAGACAACTTTATGCTTACCTTGTCTAAGAGAGAGAATACAGCAAATACTCTGCTTTGAGATTCAAGTGCTTTTTAAATACTCCATCAGAATTAAGCTTTTACAGTTTCAGTGGTATCAATTCGTGAAAGTGTGATCTTGTATGAGGAGACCCAAATAAATGTTTAGGTCACGACACATTTTTTTTGTATCCCAGTAACAAATAGGTTTGTTTGTTTTCTTCTTAGGGCACATTGAATCCCTACTGTGTGCTGTGGGATGATTCCAGAACGTAAGTGACAGATGTTTGCTTCTATTGCTATGGCTCAAATATTATAAAGTACGTAACGATATTTATGTAGTTCGTCACTAAACAGGTTGGTATGAGGGCAAGGAAAATTAACCTTTCACAGAATGAAAATAGTGGATTCTTCAGTCTCTTGGCTTCCTTTCTGCAGCTATGTAAATTTAAATAATACAATATCTCCCCAGGAAGAGATTACTCACATAGTAATTTTAATCTGCTTTTTCAAGATTGAAATGAGGATGTCTAAGAACTATAGTTCCTTGATGGTAGTCGCTGAGCAACAAGAGAGTAGGTAAATGATCAGACAGATAACTAAGAAAGGCTCACAGTTCTGTTACTGCACGGAAAAATATCATTTTGAAGTGTGATACCCACAGCATTCTTCATTTTAATTGGTAAAAATTTTTATTTTCGTTTAGTAAAATAGTAGCTGTATAGTAATAGTGAAAGCTTGCTATCAGTCTTTTGCTACTTTTTTTAGTGTGTGTTCCTTCTGTACCAAAACAGAAAATGTCGCTGTAAGGAAGTAAAGCAGTAGTATCAGTGTGGTTTAAAAAGAATTCCAAGCTTATGCAGTTGTAATTTGCTGCATCAGTCTTTCACAGTAAATCTCCCATTAAAGTCAAAGTGAGCTTTGCCTAAATACAGATTGTTTCAAGAAGGATCCCTCTATGGTTGCCATAGTAATTTTTTCAAAGATGGTGTTGTACTTCTTGTCCAGGTATATTATATATGTCTTATACTACAGACGTCTACAGTGTTGGAAGTTGTATGCCTGTGATTTTGTGAGTGCTTTTATCCTTGAGCCTGGGTTTATATCAGTACACTGATGGCTAAGAATAATCATTTTAGTACAGAAATGAGAAACTTTGAACACAATGCTAGAAATCATTCCAAATACAAGTAGTACCATGGTCTATGCCCCTACGAAAGAATCATAATGCAGTTATTTGCCAGCAACATCGTAATGTTCCATTTCTGTAAAATGGGTGGAATAAATACATGAAAGACTTGATACTATGTATTATTATGTGCAAATGGAATGCAAAACTTTTGGAACATGTTCTTTGTTTTGTCTTCACGATGTTTTGTTTACACAGTAGTAGTCCAGTGCTTTATTTACCGTTTTTCACATGCATTAATTTAAGCACCTTATATTTAGAGCACAGGCTCTGATTTCACTGCTCCAGTCCAGAATATTAAAGGCATATTTTCATGGAATTAGACTTCCGAAAAAAAAAAGCATGCTGTGGATTTAACAATACGATTACAACATTTCGTGCAGGTATTCAGGATGAATGTGTGAAGCAATCACAAGTAAATTTACTTTGTGCTTGCCTCTTGTTTTGCATACGTTTTTCTTAGTATTTACAGAGAAATTCAGTGCTGCATATAAGTACTGGTTTCAGTATGCTTCAGAATCTGGATGGAAAAGTGAATTTTTGAAACTTTTAATATTTAAATAAAACTTGCATAAAATATTCTGAGGTTTTGAGGGACAAACACAAGATGTGGTATTCTGAAGGGTATCTTTTCTAGTCATATTATTAGTAGCTATTGAAAATATTAAGATATGATGTATCAGTAAGGTCTGCGTGGACACCATTGTCTTTTGATTTACGTATGTATGTGTGTTATTTGATGAGAATATTGCATTATCTCTTACCTGAGTGTGTAATAGCAAGAGCACAATTCTACTTATTTCCTCCATTGCTTAGGAAAAGATCCTTAATGTTAGCTGGGGGAGCATTAGTTGATTTATAATTTGATTTTTGTAATGCTGTTTCTTTTTGTTTTGAGCATTTTCTTTGTATTTACTCAGAAGTAGTTCAGAATTTATATTCTGACATTGTGAGTTTTAAATTATTGTGGAAGCTCTATAATGCTGAATTGGTTCCTATCATTTATAAATCTTAATAAATAAATATGTAGAGGACTATACAATTGGTTAGATGCCCATGATGATGTTGGGTTCTTGGTGGCTTGGTTTTATTTTTTTTTCTACTTTCTTCTAAACCTCAGAAATTACCCACTCTAAGCAGCAGGCAACTGGATTTGACACTGCAAATCCTACAAAGCTGTGCTATACTCCTGTCCTTCCAAACTGGCTAATGTTTGCATAACCAGGATTTGGCAAGCTTTTGGAATAAACCTGACAAAGAATAGCCTGCTTTCAGCTGAAGGTGCTTAACTAATCAGTATTTTATACTGCGATGGGTGTTTCAAATGAAGTGCTGTTCAGATGAAAACTATGTTTGCTTTTATCATCGGCATACAGTCAGCAGTAACCTCTAATGGGTTTTACCACCTTTTTAGACACTTCTCCCACATCTTATCTTCATGCACTGCAAAGTCGCATTTGGTAAATGGTACTTCCTCCACTGATCTTGTCAGTTTAATACTTCTCCAACAGCAGGGGCAGCTTTGTCTACCTGGGTTTTAGCCACACTTCTCAGGAGATTGACCAGTGATTACAGTCCCCTGTCACCCATCCTTGAAGAAAGTTCTGGAACCATGAGCTGTTTAGTCACACCAGATCATGAAACTTATCCTACTGCCATTGCTATCTGTGACAACTTCGTCATCCTAACTTTAGCAAAAGCAGTTTTAATCCATTATTTCTGTGAGATTTGGTGATTCTTCCCTATGATGATATTTTCTAAGGTTTTCCATTTATCAGACTTTATCAGGCTGGCAGACTTGTGCCCTCTCCATAGGCAACTAGTCAAATATGTGTACAATATTGAGACAGTGCAACTAAAGAATAAAATACTATGTTATGTACTATGAAGGGCAAACTGAAATCCAATAACTCAGCATTTTATTTCAGTTGATTCTCCCAAAATATAGAGCACATCTGTCTGTGTGGATTGAAACCAGGCTGTTTATGAGTTCTTTTTTTTCCTTTGATATTTC